TTTTTAATTATCGCAGCATTAAAAATTAAGTTGGAATATTTTTATATTGTTATTAATATGGTTTATCAATTATTTGAAAAAAAAAACGCACGCGACGCCAATAGTCGCCTTGAGATTACTTATTCAAATTAGATTAAAATTAGATTTAATATACATGTGCGATCAATTTGTTTATCCTTTTAGTATATACATATTGTCTTTGATCGTGCTGCATTTCTCCGAGTTGGGAGCATTTGAAATGAAACTAGCTGGGTTTCCGTGCGCGTAATACCTCTGTGTGTGAACCGTCGGTGATTAGTTAATTAAATTAGTTTCAACGATTGAGACGACGCGTTAGCGGTACGGGTGTGCAAGAACCCCTTTCGGTGCGTTTGTAAGCCACCGTCGCGGCTGTCTGAAGGGAAAACCAGAAGCCTTTGTGCGCCGCGAAGCTGACTGAAAAACGAAGGAACTCGGCGTACAGAGCAATCGCGATTGCATTTTCCGCCTTTACGAATAAATACATTGCGGCCGATCGCTCGGAAAAACGCAGTTAATCAAGGCAATTTACAGAAAGGCGATATAATTAGCGTACAACCTAATTAAAACACGCGCATGGCAAATAACATTGTTTAAAAATATTTGAGACTCTCGTGCAAACGGTATCAGAAATGAAAATTACAATCATTCTGAGATATACAAAATATGAAAAAATTATGTGCAAGGGATATTTTACATTTCTCATAATATTTTAAAATAAATTATAAAAAAATTTTTAAGCATTAATTTTTTTTAATTATATGCATTTAGTCTAAAAATTTAATTATATTATATCGTAAGAATTCAAAAAATTTGTAATAGAAAAAATACATATTAACTACAAAAATTAATAATTGTGCAAAGTTCAAAAGTATAAAACTTCTTAAATATAATTAAAAAATTTTTTTAATCTTAAAGGATATGAAGCTACTATTTTTTTTCAAAGTTACAATAAATTCTAGAAAACTAATCGAGATAGTCAACGAGTTTCCAAGAGCATCTTGGGAAGTGCTACGATATTTTTAGTAATAAATTTTTATTATTTATCGCAAATAGAAATTTAGCTGCGTGCCGTGCACGACACGTGTCATGTAGGATCAACCTAAGCCGAAGAGAAATGTTTTGTTCTTTGCGACATATGTTACACTCGTTGATCCCAAAGCCTTCTAAGAGCGCACTCTCGTTTCTGTTGCATGCGGCCCAGATGTCTGGGAACATAGTCGAGTCGAGTGCGCTTTCGAAATCACAGTGACATAAGGTACAACATGAGACACGAGGACGCGACTTTAATAATGTATCGTTAGTCAAGAGGTCGACCTTTTCTCCCTCTATCTCATTCTTTAATTCGCTCACTCTTTTTCTGTTCCTTACCCTTCTTGAAAGTCACTTTTTGATTTCGGTGGGCCGATTTCAAGAGCTCAATTGAAACTGCTAAGCGTTCTCTGTTGAACGCAATTGTGTCATCCAAAAACGTCATTCCGGAGTGGACGTTGTTTCAGTTCTTGTGATCGGTACAATGCCGTCCGTCGAGTGCTCGCTAGTGTACGTTGAAACGTTCCTGCGATATCAATTGGTTAACTTAATAGATCTCGCATCTTAAGTCGCGATATCAAACAACGATTGTTTCGCGAAATTTCTGTTCTAACTTATATTTAGATCTTTTTTTAACTTTTTTTATAGCAAGTATATTACAAATCAAATTTCTATTGAATTTGATAAAAATTTATTGATGTTTATCCCCTAAAACCATGAAAACTAAATTATTATTCATTACACTATTTAAAATAATTGAAAATTAATTAATAGTTAATTTTCCACACTTACATAAGTAATAATGGGAGGGGGTAGACATTTATTAAAGACTTCTTTTGTAGAAGTAAATTCAAACAACGCTGTCTATGAGAAATGTCTAAAAATGTCAAAAATAATCAACCAAGAGTTAATCATACAATAATAGATATTATTCTTGACATCAAAATAGAAAGAAGTATTCACACTTATACAAATAATTTTACCTTACATTTCTTAACCCGTGAAAATCCGAAAAATTACCTTAAATAGTGGACTTTAAAATGATAAAAGAACAATCGCAATAAATACTATTTTCCAGACTTTTGTCTTTAAGACCTTTTCAGTCACTTTTTAACATATTTTGAGAAATCATGCTGACACCATAGTGTTGGCATGCAATTGAATATATTCAATTACTGTCTTCATGAAATACAAAAGATTCTTTACGGTACTTTTACTTTACATATAATTTGTTTGAAAAAGATTCAGTAGTTCGAAATATGTCGCCGTATTGTCAAGGTAGTTGTACAACAATGTGTTGTAGTCATTAGTATGTATAGAAGCATTTTGGGTGGTCCTAACTTATTCACATTTTCCATGAAAATCTGTCAAATTGCTTTAACAAATGTGCACGTCAAAATTTTTGGCGTGAATGCAAGTTTCGTTGAGATAATGTTTAAACAATGCTATTTAATTTCTGGATAACTTTTCGTATGCATTATTAAATTTTCTGAATCCAGTAATTATTATTATAAAAACGCGTACACATGCTTCGAGGCTCAAACTTTTTTTGTAAATTGACAATCTATAAATACTAATCAAGATACAAGGATTTAGCTGAATTCAAATAAATTAACCAGTTGAGTGGTGGACTTTTCCGAAAGATTTGTGCCAAAAGTGATAAGAGCCAAAAGTTAAAATATCGAAAAACGGTGAAACATGGGTTCAAAGTTTTCGAAAAAAGCAACTTTTCGGAATGGGTGTAGATCCCTCCTTCCCCCCCCCCCCCCCACGTCCTGTGGGGCGGGGGGGCAGAATAGTGGAAAATGTTAAATGGCACTATGGGTCGAGTGGGGATTATTTGAAAGGGCGTTTCAAGACAAGAACAATGATTTTTGAAAATGTTTACTACGTCTTTTCAGTCAAAAATGAAGGTGGATTAAAAAAGGGGCGTGGACTTCCGAAAAGCTATCACCTCCGATTTGGCTTATATTCGGCCAAAATACTTATTTTATCTAGTAAATAATATTCCCAAATGGATTTTTGGCGCAAATGCCCCCTCCGCCCCCAGCCTCCCTAAAAGGTTAAAAAATAAAACTGTTTTTGTTAATTATTTCAGAAAGTCGGAAAGTACGGAAAAAGTTGTCAAACAATAAATGAAGCTCATAAAAAGCTCTACAAATAAGGTCTTATACATATTTTACCTAACTCCAATATTTTAGTCGTTTTAACAATTAACAGTCGCCATATTGGATCCGCCATTTTGAATTTTGTAATTTTGACAACAGATTCAAATTTAGCAGCCCAAAAAACCTTATCAGGATATCAAGTTTTGTGCAAATCTGTTGAAAATTAGTGGAGCTATTTAGAAATGTACATATATGATACATTACGACGTTTGGCACTTTTTTTTTGTACATATATGATACATTACTCAACTGGTTAAATAGCCTGAATTTAAATAGATAAATCTTTCGCATTTGCATAATGTATACTATCTGTTTATATTGTAAATTAATTATTAAAGATGATTTAAAACATAAAAACGTATATTCTGAGTGAATAAACGGACATAGAACTCACATTAATTTTTTTATTTTTTTTGGTCAGTATTTCAAACAAACAGGATTAATATTTAAATTAAAGAGCAAATGCATTGTTCACGTTACTTTTACTCTTAAATCAACTCTAAATAAATTGTTTAATAAATTTCCATTTTTTATTTTTGTTTTAAATTTTATTGGGAATGCGTGGGATAACTACAGAAATGCAATTTTACTGTAAATATATCTTTGGTAACTATTTATATTATAATACATATATACATATTAAATTATATATAAATAATAAAAATGTTATTTTATATTTACATATATTATGTATAATATATGTACATAATTATGTATATAACACATGACATATATGCATATATACACATATACATATATCAGGACACCGGCGACACATTTGTCGCGTATATTTATATATATATATAAAAATATCTTATAAAAAATCGAAGAGATTATTGTAGAATAAAATAAACACTATAAATATTATATACTTATTTTTTCGTTTGATCAATAGCACCGGAATTAGTTTATATTGTTATCATACAGTGATAATATCCACATACCTATTTGTGCGTACAATGTCATCGTAATTCTTTATTCGTCATTATCTTAATACATAGTAGCCATTCATGTTCGAATTTTTACTGATACCTGTATATCAAATATAAATCGTATGCATATCGATATGTACATATTCTATATGTATATTCTTATATATGCAATTGAACATTTTTTTATAATTACACTTATACATGAAATACATATTCGTATACATTGTTGATTAGATCTTATATTGCACTGAGAACAGAAGCAATTATTATTACTATTGCAATAAAAGTATTGTTATTACATATATCATGCAAAGACAATCATATTTTGTTATCACATGATCAATAGTTTAGTATTCTAACGAAACTTACAAATATTGCTATTGCCAAATCTTTGCTGTGTAAATTTGTACATGAAGGATTTGCTACTAAAATAAAATTTATGCAAATAATAGCGCATTAATGTGTTATGTACGAATAAAATTAAAGAAAAATAATTATTTTATATTTAACATTAATTTTGCTGTTAAAGCAAAATAGTCTATTCTAAACAAATACCTACAGTTTATTATCATAATAAAAAAAATGTGGCATTATAACGAAGTAATTTGTAAACTTAATCTTAATTAACTGTTCAAAAATTTGAAAGCACTTAGAAGAAAGTACTAACGTGTTAAATTTTCCGTTTTTCTAGAAAAATATGTTGCTTTCAAACTTTACAACAGTATAATTATTATATAATAATTATTATATACAATATGCAATATATATCACATACAATATATTATATAATTACAATATACAATGTATATATAATAATTATTATATAATTTTACCATATAGCCTAACTCTTGAATATCACAGTTAAGCTCCCTCTTCTAAAAAGCATAATTCACTGAAAAGTAAAGAATTACAATAAATTAAAAAAATTACAGAAAAATAATATTTAAAAAATTATAAATAGAAGAAACTTAATTAAAATAAGTAGAGCAGAATAAATTGGAATGAGTATAAAAGATTAAATTACACATATTTTGCATACAATTTCTGAAATTGTTAGGTAAATTATCTATTTAAATTGTAAATCAAAAAGTGTGAAAATCGCGAATAAAATCCATTCTCTAATGATTAACTATGGTTAAAACAAATAATTTTCACGTCAACTTTCACGTTTATTCTTGTTGATAACCTCGTTTGTGTGTTACTTATGACTATCAAAAAAAAAAAAAAATTTACCGCCCTCGGCTGCAGGTTACGTTAAAAGTGCATCTGCAATTAAGAAATATTATTTGGAAACAACTCGAGGCGCAACCTTGAAGGGTCCGACTGTGGCTATTCATGCGGGGAACCGTACCCTACAATAAAACCCATTGGACGAGACAAAAACGAATCCGGGCCTAAACGACTCCATTGTTCTGCGTCGCATTAATATGCTAATTCAATTATCCGCGTCGTTGACAGTGAGATAGCACTTCTGAGGACCACCGAGGGCGGCCGTGCTAACAGATGTTTGTGAATTTATTTTTCAAATTCGCTCAAAAATGAAAAATACGTAATAATGTATTTTTTTCTTTTTTCTTTTTTTTTAATTCTTAAACAAAAGCACTTAAATTTTTCAGAAATTATATACGCACTTCATTTTTTTTATTATCGTTACCAAATTATAGTATGTGTTCTGCTGTTGATTATACTCCGACAAAGGTGTCCTCGTGAACTGCTTGTCCGATGGTGATAATTGCGGACTGTTTTGCGGGAAATTGCAAATCCTGTGGACATCGTGGTTTTCAGATTTATTGTCAGATGCAAAGGGAAACATCGAATAGAGCATGTTAGCTGGCGTCGTCGTCGGAAAAGACATCTTCTGTGCCAAAAATTTTCACACAAAAAAAAAGAAATAAAATTATTTCCACCGCATGATTGCATCGAATGACTTAATAAAATATATTTAATCTAATCAAATTAAATTAAAAATTTTTCCGTATCACGCAAGGTTTTCGCGTGGCGCGTGCATATATTAATATTATTGGTTATTTGCATTATTCAAAATGCCATACGCAAAAACCAAGAGTGACAGAAAAATTCTGATTGTATTGTATTTTTTTGAAGTTAGTGTACGATATAAACGCAGAGCGTTAAGAAGTGTTATATTAGACTTACCGTCGATGAATGTGGTGTATGATAATTCATATATACGAGATTATTGGCGAACACAGCAGCCGATGCATTATTATATGTGTTATTATTCGGGTAGTTATTCATGAACGGCGCCATAGTAGTTACGTTGAAGAGATACGGCGCATAATCGTTCGGATTCCCTGTATAATAAGGATTCGGAACAATATTCTGAATTAGCGGATCGGAGAAGAATTTGTCATCGATCAAATTAATTGTTGGAGGATTCGGCGAACTTTCTTTCCTCTTTTTTTGTTTACGCTGAAATTTATAATTTGGATATTTCTTTTGATGATTTATTTTCAATTCTTCCGCCTTCATTATGTAAATATTTTTCATCTCCTGCGGGATTGTTTTCCACATGATGCCGAGTTGCTTCGAGATTTCACTATTGTGCATCTGCGGGAATTCTTTGGAAATCTTTTTTCGTTCTTTAGAAGACCATATTATGAAGGCGTTCATAGGGCGCTTGATTTTTGTCAGTGTAGATATCTGTATTTTAGATTGGTCCTCAAACATCGCGTATTGCGCGATACAATCCATCGCCGGTTGCGAGAAAGATGTGCTGGAGTCAGATAGTCCCGGGAGAGTGTAGTTTAAATTTGTGGATGATAAATTATGCAGTGAAGGATTCATTATGGTCTCCGTTCTCTTCAGAAAATTCCTCAGTTGAATACCTGTACAAATAATTGTTTTTTTTAGTGAAACGCAGCAAATAAACATGAGCGCATAACGGTTGAGGATCGATAATAAGTCAATGTCATTTCGTGACTAACGGTAAATATTAAAATTCGCAACTTTCACTTGACTCACTCGATTCGCACTTTTTCCAAATTACCTTCACGTTAATTAATCTGATGTGAAATTTTGTTAATTATTTTTTGATCGACCTCAATGTATCTTTTTTAATTTATATATAAATGTTATTTTGACTAGGAGAATAGTTTTATGTAACAATACGTTATGCTGATGAACGCAAAAATTTTTTCTGCTAGAACAGAATAATATATTCATATGATATCGATCTATATTAGAAGTGCCGTATGTTATTGAACAGATTTCTGCCATAATATTTACCTTTAGAAAAATTACAAATTGTAGTATTACAGATTAATTTTAATCTGCACTAAGAAACATAAAGTTATGTTGTAGTTAAAAAAAAATTCAAAAATATCTCCATAAAAATGATAAAAATATTATCGTTAACCATTGATGATATTTTATTGATATGAGTTAGATTTGTCTTGCATAGCTAGTGAATTTAAAATCTTTACCGTTGGAATGGAATGATATAACAATAAATATAATATTATTACCAACATTACCATGTCGCGATTTCGGTTGCTGTGTATCTGTTTTTACACTTGTTTGCCTTTAACACATCTTCAAATAAACCAACTTGAACGATTTTCGATAACAAGGTTTATTTGCAAGTGTATCTAGCACTTTTTCACACTAATTCACTAATGAAAACTATCTTCTCGATTACTTTTTGGGTCTGACGCGGACACGTGATACACCTGACCAGCAAGCAGCTGCTTCGACTACTAAACGTAGTCTGTACGGTACTTGTTTGTCCTTGTCGGACTCTTCGCTTTTTCTCCTTGTCTCGCCCGTCTCGATCTCCCTCCAGTCGACTATATCCTGGGCGTACTTCGACCAGCTGATCCACCCATTGGCCAGCCCCGACGAGGCTCCATTGGCTGGTGCATCTCCACTCTCGCGTAACATGCCGAGCTTCGTCCCGCGTCGCTTCGTCGTCGTCATACTTGCGGCCCGCAACAAGCGGAGCGCGGCCGCCTCGGCGTGATATACCGTCGCGGACTGCAATTATTATTATCGATTACTTCGATACGATGAAGTACAAATAGCGTATAGACCGGGCCCGTTATTGACTGGCTCCTGCTTCGCGTACCGTCGTTGTCGCGCGCGCACGCCACCGCAAGAAGTGACATCGCGTAATAATTGCGATTACGCTCGCACACTTAAAGTCTCTTCGCTTCAGATGCGCTTCTTACGTTTTTCTTCTTCTTTAACCAAACCGTGAATATATAACGTCTAGGAACATTTCATATACGTAATATTTTTCATAGACGTAAGATTTTACAAGTAAGCTGCACTAAACAATGAGATGAGCATCTTGGCGCTCATTAAGAATCGGTTGTGAGGGGTTTCGGGTTAGATAATTTGATTATTTATGCCACTCTGTTTTTATTGATGTTGATATTCTTTTGAGATGTCTGGTTTATGTTTAATTAACATATGAAACAATTTTGCGACACGCAATCTGTTAATATTATTTTTTTACGAAGGAGAAAACGATCTTAAAAAACTTCTACTCTAGAAATTTATTATACATTATAAAATTAAATTATATATATTTTTTCTTTGATATTAAAAATATATCGATTAAAATTTGATAATTATGCATTGTATCTTGAATTGCCATCTTTTTTGTCGGTCACATTTTATATACGTTTTACAGCGCATTTTATTATTAAAACGCCAGCGATAAGTTATTAATTATTATTTCTATATTAAATTAATATTATTAATCTAATTAAATTAACATTTTCAATTTAAATTTAGCTGTAAAATCACAGCAAGGAAAATATGTATTCACAAACGCACATTATTATTAAGCGATATTTATGCAGCCAGACAAAATTCGTGGGACATGAAATACTCGAGCAAACGTTTGTTCGACGTTGTTTTCTTATCGCGCGCTCCCTCTTTACGCCGTCTTTTCGTCGTCGACGAGTAATCAATCGGGAGTCTACTCTAGAAAGCGAGCTTCGACCCTATTTAGTTTGCGCACATTCGCACACAGGAAAAGAGAGTGGCGAGGGAGGAGGAGAGCGGCCGCTTCCGTGAAACAATGCAGGGCGAAATCTGACGGTTACCCTCCTATGGGAAATCTGCGGGCACAATGCAAAAAATCCTCTCGACGACAGGGCACTTGGATTAGGATGAAAAGTGGCGCGAGGAGAGAGCGCTGCCCCCTTTTTCCCCCCGAACGCCCCTCCGCCGTCTCCGCGGTCCGTCGTCTCTCGCCTTCCCGATTCCCGAAGGACATGCGGCGATGCGAACGAATAGACGCCGTTCCCTTTTATCGAACGGTATTAGTCGTTTCGTACCCCCTCGTATTGCCTTCCCGACACATCTTCTCGTCATCGACTAAACACCTTTCTCTTTTCTTACTTGAGATCACGTCTCATTTTCGTAATTAATACCCATTTAATTTAAAGTGAACCAACTGTATTCAATATCTCACGGAAAGCTACGAGAGCCCAACTACAAAGAGCACAATAATGACATTGAAATGTGAAATACTTTTTTTTTAAGTAAATTCCCTGTTATGAGACTCAACATCGCGAAATGTTTCCCGACAGCATCCGTCACTTCGTCATCGATCTCGGTGCAATTGAATTAAAAAAAAAAAAAAAAAAAAAAAGAGGAGGTCCAGAGAAGCGAGCCCGTCGGCTAATAATTTATTATCTCGCCGGATGCGCGCCACCCCGAAAAAAAAACAAGACCCACCCTCGTCGCGGCGCCGACAAAGGTGGCGGAAGGAAAAAACGAGGAGCGCGTCTCTTTCGTCGCGGAAAAAATCCAGCGACGCGGTCGGCCATTCCGTCCGGGGCCTCTCCGCGAATATCTCGCGCCGCGCGAGTACATGCATACGTACGCGCGCGTACGTTCCTCGCGCGTGTTGGGCGCGCACACACATTCTTGCCCGCATGCAGTCGGGTGCAAATTGGTATTGAAAAATCTCGAAGTCAATTAAAACTCCTGGCACAAAGGATTCGGCGAGACAAAATACCAATTATCTCATGTCCTCACCGTCGTCCTCCCTCCCCCCCTCCGCCCTCTTCTTTCCCTGCCCGGTCGACGCGGCGGATGGTGTTGGGGGGAGGAGGGGGAAGGGGGGGGGGCGGTAGGGGGGTTTTCCCTTGCAAGAACTCAATTCCATTAGGCATTGAAGTGAGTAAAGCGAGGATGGGCATCTATATAACGCGTTCGCATCTCGCTTATCTACCTAATAAAGGTTTATTCCTCCCCTCCCCCCTTCCCCGCTTCCACCCCTTTTCCGCT